TACAGACGAGAAAACAGAGTCAAGTGAGTATAAACTAAGTTTCTTCTAGAACCCAAGTCCTATGCCCCCATTTATAGCACTGCTCACACTATACCAACCTGATTTTAAGGTGGTGGATCCTAATATTAGGCGCTTTTTATCTGGAGCCATGCTCTATACATAAAAATGGGTACTTTATATCAAGATATTATTTTCACACATGGTTTACTCTCCAAAAATCTCTAATATATTAAAGGGATATAACCATTAACCAAAAAATCTGGCAAGTGATCATGATGAGACTTGGGAGGAACTCTATGGATTAAAAAATAAAAAGTAGCCCTGGCCAGTTTGGCTCAGCGGTTAGAGCGTCGGCCTGCGGTCCAGAGAGACCCGGGTTCGGTTCCCGCTAAGGGCACGTACTTCGGTTGCAGTTTGTCCTCGGCCCTGGTTGGTCGTGCGGGTGGCAGCCACTCGATGTGTCCCTTCACATCAATGTTTCTCTCTCTCTCTCTTCCTCTCTCTCCCTCCCACTCTATCTGTACAAAAAATGGAGAAATGTCCTCGGGTAAGGATAAAAAATAATAATAATAATAAAAAGTAACATTTCACTTAGGCATCAAATGTGCTGCTGTGGATACAAATCAGAAGCGCTGTCCACATCCACATAGCTCTCTTGAGCATCCACCTATTCCACACTTCATTCAGCAACCCACCAAAGTTGTGTATTTCCTTTCAAAAGAGTAACTCCAAAAATCATTAACAGTAAGTTAACTTGACTTCTAGTGAGTGTTCATCAATCCTTGCAGTACATCAAGAAGTCAAATATCTAACAAATGTCCTAACTGTGCTCCTCATGTCTCCCATAAGAAAAGAGTCCTAAAGGTACTGTTTCCACCCCCTGACCAAATGACCCTCAGTAAACAGCATGCTCTCTCTGGGTCTCGCTTTTAAAAAATGTGGTATTGCTCTGAACTTCTATTCGGGAAACTGTAATTTAAAGAACCTCAAGGACCCCAAGAAGGGCTAAAATGCACATACAAGTGGTGCTCACAAAATGCTAAAAGTTGTCCAAAATGGCTAAATGCTTTTTAGCTCTGTGTACACCTTCCTAAGAGGTACTACAAAGGAAGTGAAAAATTGATTTTTCAGAATCAAAAGATGAAACTTTAGGCGTTGAAGTAGCCTTCTGCCCTGTTATATCAACACTTACTATCCCTTCCCCCATTTCTTTCCTTTCTCCTGAAAACAATTTCTGCCAGAAAAGATATAACCAGCCTTGGCCAGGTAGCTCAGTTGGTTAGAGCATTATCCTGATACGCCAAGGTTGCAGGTTCGATCCCAGTTAGGGCACGTTTATCAACCAATGAATGCATGAACAAGGAGAGCAATAAATTGATGTTTCTCTCTCTTAAAAGAAAAAAAAAAAAAGATACAATCACCTTATTGACTGGAAAGTTTTCTTTTAAGATTTTGGCTTCGCCCTGGCCGGTTTGGCTCAGCGGTTAGAGTGTCAGCCTGCGGTCCGGAGAGACCAGGGTTTGGTTCCCGCTAAGGGCACGTACTTCGGTTGCAGTTTGTCCCCGGCCCTGGTTGGTCGTGCGGGTGGCAGCCACTCGATGTGTCCCTTCACGTCGATGTTTCTCTCACTCTCTCCCTTCCTCTCTCTCCCTCCCACTCTATCTGTACAAAATATGGAAAAATATCCTCGGGTGAGGATTAAAAAAAAAAAAAAAAAAGATTTTGGCTTCAGAATTTCACTTAAGGATAGGCAGTAAAGCTGTGCTCGTCAATTTCTTTCTTTTTTTTTTAAAAAAAGTACTTTTATTTATTTACTTATTTGTTTAGAGACAGAAGGGGGAGTAGGGGTGGAGAGACACACTGATGTGAGAGTGAAACACTGATTGGCTGGCATGCCCTCCACCGAGGATGGAGCCTGAAACCTAGGCATGTGCCCCAAGCAGGTACTGAACCAGCAACCCTTTGGTGCGCGGGATGACACCCAACTGAGCTACACCTGTCAGGGGCTGCTCATCAATTTCAAATTCCTGAAGTATCTTAATAATCAATATGCTTTGTCCGGCCAGTGTGGCTCAGTGGTTGAGTGTCGACCCATGCACCAAGAGGTCACTGGTTCGATCCCCAGGCAGGACACATGCCCAGGTTGTAGGCCCGATCCCCAGTGAGGGGCATGCAGGAGGCGGCCAAGCGATGTTCTCTCTCACTGATGTTTCTATCTCTCTCCCTCTCACTTCCTCTCTCTCTAAAAACCAACAAAGGGGAAAAAAAATCAATATGCTTTGATCAATAAAATACTTAAAAATCTATTACTGATGCAAATTAAATGATATAAAATTCCTCTGTGATTCTTTATCATCCAACCATTCTTATACTGGAAAGCATTAAGACACCCCTAGTCCTCAAGGAATGTACCTTCTATCTGGGTCCCTATGTACACTTTAACACATGTATTCCTTCCTGCAGGTGTAATATAGTAGGCCTACATGAAGAGGAAGCTTTTCCCAGATTTCTCCAAATTATGAGCAGCTGGTACTCTGTGAAGAACCTAATTCCCTATGACTAAACACCATAATAGCAGTTACTGGTCAAAATTTCAACTTCTCTGAATAGAGGAGCACAACTTTGGATCAAGACCCTATTCTTTGGGGGGGGGGGGGGGGGAATTTAATCCAGCCTATCAGAACAATAAGAAAACCACAATAATACCATTAGTTCTTATCCCATCCTTCAGCTAGAACAAAATCTGGATAGAAATGCCACAGGGCTTTGAAAAATATAAAGTGAACATATTTTTCACCAGTGGAATCAAGGTGGTTCATCCCACACCCTGAAAAGAATTTGCATCGAAAAGAAACAAGAAATAACACTTCTCTAACTAGAGCATTAAAGGGCCTCCCAAGTTTTATTCCAGAACACTGGAACTTATTCTGCACTCAACATTATGATGCTAAAATGTGCCATAAGAGACAGAAAGAAATAGGAAACAAGAGTTCTGGCTATGGGTCATTTCAACGTAGCGATGTTAGATGAGTTCTTTTTTGTGCTTAGGTTTCTTGTCTGTAAAAATAACCTTCAGCTTCCATAATGGTTTCCCTAAACAATGTATCCTGCAAATCTTTACAACGGGGAAAAAACTATCCAGCAACTGATGCTATCAAGTTCTCCAGAAGGATGACTAAAGAGAAATGTGATGCTTTCCTAAAGGAATGTACTGTTACTTATGCATACACCTGACTACTGTTCCTTTCAAAAAAGATACCATAGGAAGCTGTACTTATTCAAAAAATGCTGCCCTAACTCAAAAGTTTAAACAGTTTTCTGGATTTGCTTTCAAGTAAACAGTTCATTCTTCTGAATGCACAGCAGCGAATACAGATTATTCCTAATTTCAATTTATGCCTTACTTACTTCCTAGAAAGACTTTAAGCACCTTATATTTAAAACATTTAGCCCTGGCCAGTTTGGCTCAGCGGTTAGAGCGTCGGCCTGCGGTCTGGAGAGACCCGGGTTCGGTTCCCGCTAAGGGCACGTACTTCAGTTGCAGCTTGTCCCCGGCCCTGGTTGGTCGTGCGAGTGGCAGCCACTCGATGTGTCCCTTCACGTCGATGTTTCTCTCTCTCTCTCTCTCCTTTCCTCTCTCTCCCTCCCACTCTATCTGTACAAAAAATGGAAAAATATCCTCGGGTGAGGATAAAAAAAAAATAAAATAAAATAAAACATTTACGCTCATGTATACAGGCGAAAATTGTGTGGCTCCCCAGGTGACCTCTCTGAAAGGAACCTTTCTTTAAGTATTTATGCTTGTGAAGAAAAAAAAAAGGGGGCCATGTGACTTTGTAGGTGCAATTCCTATTTAGGGAGGAGGGGAATCAAACTCCACATCTTCAGCATCAACTTCTCTTCTCCCTTCTCACACCCCAGTGATTCCGACAGCACAAATAACTGCTTATTTCTCTCTACTGCAATTCTGCTTCTTTATTACTAGGCTAAGATGGTACTGAGTAAGAGTTGATCACTTTTTTGAAAGGTGACTTTTCAGACACAGGTGCCCTAACCCTGTCCTTCAGACACAGAAAGTCTTTTAACCCCACATTCTTATTCAGAGCCTCTGCAAAATGGGCACACTGGAAATCTTGCATCTGTAAAAGTGCTTAATTACTCTTTGGTCTTCTCAATACTTCAGTAAATTACATGCACACACATTCAATGATCCGGCAATGATGAGGACCCTTCACCAATTCGAAAAATTACTTTTTAGTACATTCTATAAAACACTGTTAAAGTGACACAATTGTTATCTAAAGGAGAACTTAGCCAACTCTTCAGGCTCACGAAGATGAGGTCTTCATTCAAGAGATGACAAAAGGCCAAACTTACGCTGCTAAACCAAACACACACTGTGTTGTTCCACTTTTTAATTTAGCGATTATGAATGTACTCATCTATTGCTTCCAATTTCACTTTGCTGGCTGATAAGCAACAATGAACCTTCCAGCATACTGGCTCCCTGTTTCTGCCCCACCTGAAACTTTCATCGCCAAAGGAAAAGAAACAGCGATCATCCACTGGGGTGTTTCCCTCCGTTTAGGCTGCAAACTTATCTTTGAAGCTGCTTCCAGTTTTTCCAATTTCCCTTCTGGAATAACTTAAGAGCACCAAGTAACAAACTCAAGGAGCCCTTGGAATGATAGGATCTTCATAAACAGGCCTTTCTCTCTTCTGAATACCTATTTATTTAGAAACAGATGGAGCCCCTTTGGAATTTTCACTCTGGGAGTCCATAATTACAATTCAAAACAAGGATGTTCCTGAACTATCATGTTAGATTTGAGATAGGTCTGCATATTTTCTTCAAAGTTCACAGGAAAATGGGGTGGGAGAAGGACCTATGCGATGTACAGTGAGAGCTTGGACTGCTCATTCTAGAATGTGGCTGGGGTAGTTTGTATCCTTTTGATCTGTGGGGGTAAAAAATGTAATTCCACTCATAAGACACTCACCTTGAGAATTTTTACAACCACTCTCTCATTGTTGGTGATGTTAATGGCTTCAAATACTTCACTATACTTTCCCCGACCAAGTTTTCGAACCAGTTGGTAATCATCTTGATTACTGTAAAAGGCAAGAGGGGAACATAAATGCCAGGATTTGGGATTAACCAAGTCTAGACACATTACACACCTCACCCAGCCATTTCCACTATTCAAGCACTTGGAAGTGTCTACCCATCAGCCACAACACTCCCTAAATGAAGGCCACAACACAGACTTGGCGCCCTTCACCCTACACAGAGCTCCTAACTTAATTGTTCCCTCATAACGTGGGAAGGCACCGCTCCGAGCCCATCTGGACAGGTAAGCAGAGCGCCCACCCGAGGCTCAGAGGGCGCCCCTCCGCCCGGGCGCCAGTGCGCCTGCCCGTGTTTCACACCCTGAAGCACCCCGCGCCTGCTTTGAGATTCTGGACATCTTTTTACAATTTCCTCCCACCCAGCCTCATCTCAAAAACTAAAAAGGCAGAGAATTTTAATAGCTCCGGAGGGCAGCTGTTGACTTCCCGGAGCCCCCCCAAAACCCGAAAGTGTGAGAAGGGGCTGCTCCCTCTCTTCCACCAGGCCCTGGTCCCTGGACCCCACGCTTCTCCCAGACAGAAAGCAGTCCTCGGGGTTCTGGGCGAGGGGGCGCACGGCGGGGAGAAAGGCCGAGCAGGGCGGGGAACGAGGACAGGCTCTGCCGCCACCGCGCCCGGGGACGCGCGGGCCCAGCAGAGGGGCGGCGGGAGCGGCGGGGGGCGGCCGGGCGGGGCGGGGTGAGGGCCCCGGGGGGCGGCGGCGGCTTTACCCCCAGCTCGGGGCGTGAGCCTCGTAGTCCCAGTAGTCGCGGCTCCTCAGGCTGTTCACCTCGGCGTAGACCCGGGCCCTGCTGCCCGCGGCCGGGCCGGGCATGGCGGGCGGGACCGGGGGGCGCCGCGGGGCGCCGAGGGCGGCGGCGCGGCTCGGGGCGCGGGGCGGCAGGCGGAGGAGGCGGCGGGCCGTGGGCCGCCGGAGGAGGAGGAGGAGGAGCGCGGCGGCGGGCGGCCACGCCAGGCCGGGCCCGCGGGGGCGGGCGGGCTGGGGGCGCGGGGGGCGCCGGCCGAGCCGGCCGGGCCCTGGGGCGGCCGGCGGGGCGGGCGGCTCTCGCGCTCCGCGGCGGCCTCCACTCGGCTCGCGGCCCCGAGACGGCGGCGACGGCGGCGGCGGCACCAGCAGCGGCGGCCGCCGGCCGGGAAAGGGGCAGCGGTGGCGGCGGCGGCGGCGGCGAAGGAGGAGGAGGAGGAGGAAACCCGGAAAAAGGGCTGCTCTCTCTAGGAGCGGCCGCCGCCCGGCCCGGGACCGCCCAGGCTCACAGCGCCCCCTGCAGCGCGGGGGGACCCGGCGGGCCGCGCGGGCCAGGCCCGGCCCCGCCCCCGCCTCCGAGACCCCCACGCCCAACGCTCCCAGGCCATCTGGGCGGACGCGCTCACAGGGCACCCCACCCACAAACTGCTGCTTCAGAGCTTTACCCTTCGTGTACCCTTTCGGGACTGTCCTGGAGGTCCCTACCCCACGCCCGCCCTCCATTCATGCAGAGTTTACCCACCCCGACCTCTTCTAAGGACCTTATGCTGACCTCTTGTCACCCAGACTGTTCCCATCAAGTCATCTCCAGCGCCTCGCTCTTGTCACTCAGAACCTCCCCCACGTCCAGATTTCTCCTTCCCTCCCAGAGACACCCCGTCTTCCCTGATGGAGCCTGCCCGGGCACCTATAGACTCCTCTATAACAACATTTCCCTTCTCTCTTCATCCAGAGCTTTCCTCCTAAAACCCTTCTCTTCCTTTCAGACCCTCGCCTGTGAGCCTTCACAGTATTCTCGTCCCTCGCTTGGTTAAACTGGAGTTGGCCAGGTCGCTCACTGTGAAGTCCTTGTTTTTTCTTTTGTAATTAAAAAGCAAGTTGTGGGGGAAATTTAGAGACTAGGTAAATCCACTGGTTTTGTTTGGGAGGACGGAGAGCAGAATTGTGAGAGCCCTGCCTGAAGGCACAGGCGAGGGGTTGGGCATGGACCACGGCAGGACAGCCAAGCACGCTTGGGCCTATATTAGTATGTTGTCTTCTAGCCCTTAACACTCTTCTTCTCTCTTTGATGTTCTGGGCCTTTCTTTTGCCTTGTGTTCCTATCCCACATCCTCTGTCAAGAGAACTTCCTTGCTCAGTGCAGGATGCTCTGACTCCAATCCTTTTTCACAGTCTGTTTTCTAGATGAAACCCTACTTTCTCTTTCTTGATATAGTTAAGAGCACAGACTGTGGGGTCAGATCCATCCAGGTTTGAATCCCAGATATGCTACTTACAAGCTGTGTGACCTTGGACCAATAACTTAACCTCTCTGTGCTAAAGATTTTACAGCATAAAAACAGCAATGGCACCTATTTCACAGGTCTATGGGGAGAATTAGACAAGGTAAACCATGTAAAACTCTTAGAGCACTGTCTAGCAGATATTAAGTGCTCAATATTATTATTACCACACCCGTGGCTTTTCTCCTATTAGTTTTCCCTCCCTGAAAGGACCAAACACACATCTTTCAGTTCCTTGCATCCTACAAATTTGGCCACTTCTACCTCCTCTTTTCCACCTTCCCATACTTGACTCCTTAATCCTCTTCAAGTCTCACATTTAAGTTCACTTTAAAAAAATGGTTTTATTGATTTTAGAGAGAGAGAAAGGGAGGGGAAAGAGCAGGAGAGGAACATCGGTATGAGAGAGAAACATCAATCAGCTGCCTCCTGCACAACACCCACTAGGGATTGAGCCAGCAACCTGGGCATGAGCCTAGACCAGGAATCGAACCGACAACCCTTTGGTGCACAGGACCACACCACACTGGCCAGGGCTAAGTTCTCTTTCAATGTTAGAGTTGATACTTCTCTACCTCAGCCCCCTATCCACATCCTTCGGAAAATGACATATTTTGTAATTATTTATTTGTCTCCTAGGCTATTGTCTATCTCCTCCACTGGAAAAACAGCATGAGAACAAGGACTCAGTCTGCATGCTCATCCCTGGTTCACTCAGCATTCACCACAGTTGGAGCCTTTCAATGAACACTATGTAACCCATAGCTCACTTATTAATTACAACGGGGAACCTGGAGGTCATCACTTTCACTATGAATCAAACTTATCTTCAATAAGAGACCAACTGTCCCTTTGACATGATGCACTATGAAGGGACATGATATCTGCCAAAAATGCTTAACTTGAATCTAATCACAAGAACACAATCAGACAAATCCAAATGAGGTAATATGCTACAAAACAGCTAGCCTGAATTCTTCAAAAATGTCAATGTCACAAGAGAAAACAAAATAAAACTCTGAAGTGGTTTCCTTGATTAAAGGATTCTGAAAGATATAACTAAATGAAGTATATACATCTGGATTTGATCCTGGATGAAAAAGGCAGGAAGAAAAGGAGGGGGAGGAGGGGAAGGGAAGGAAAAAAGAATACAACTAAAAGAACACTATTGGAACTGCTGGGGAAATTTGAATAGGGGATATACATTACATAATGGGATCGTTCAATGTTGTGAGTGTGAGGATTATACTGTGGTTATGCAGGAGAATCTCTTGATCTTAGAAGTTACATGCCAAGTGTTTAGTGGGGAAATCATAGGATCTACAGCTAGTCCTCCAATGGTTCTCCGGAAAAACATGGGTTCCTGTGAGCACAAGCATACACAGGGAGAGGGAAGCCACTAGGAGAAACCTTGACAATTGGAGAATGCAGTTGGACTATATGAGTTTGTAACATTTTGGCAGATTTGAAATTTTTTCAAAATAAAAATGGGAGCCCTGACTGGTTTGGCTCAGCATTTGGAGCGTTGGCCTGTGGACCAGACAGTCCTGGGTTCGGTTCCCACTAGGGGCACATACCAAAAAAATAAATAAATAAAAATAAAAATGGAAAGAAAATGAAGCATTTGTGAAATAAGTGGACTTTGGAATTTAATTTCCACATCTGCAAGCCTCCGTAAATCTCTGTCACACAAGAAGACACAAACATTCTCAATCTTTCTCTCTTTTCATAATTTATTGATTTTTTTTTTTTTTTTTTAGGAGAAAAGAAGGGGGTGGGGGGAGAGAGGTAGTCACCAGAGGGAGATGGAGACATCAGTTTGTTATTCCACTTATCTATTAATTCATTGGTTGATTCTTGTATGTTCTAACCAGGGATTGAACCCCGAACCTTGGTAGATCCGGACGACACTCTAACCAACTGAGCTGCTCTGCCAGGGCCATTCTCAATCCCTTAATGCAGCCTTGGGATTTCTCCCTGACAAGTCCCTGCGATCTAGTTAATACCAGAAGTTCTTAATCCTGACCCTTGTATGAACTTTCTGGGTTCCCCCAACACCATGTGCAAAATTTGTGGGTCAGTGTATACATGCCTGTGTGTATGTGTGTGTGTATGTATTCTTTCCTTAGCATCCAGGAGATTCTCATTAGAGGCCATGACCCAAAAATGGTTCCAAACTACTGGTCTAACTACCAGGTCCAACCCCCAGCTGGGGCCCCATTCCTCACCTCCACCCTCACCCACCTCTGACTTCATCTACCCTCCCTGCACCTTCCTCTCATCCTCACCACCTAACCCACACCCATGTCACGTAACCTGCTCCCACACCTGCAGTGATGCCTGAAGAGTCACCCACACACTACACTGGTGCAACACACTCCCGGATTGGGCTGACACCTTGCTAACTCAGGCCTGAACCCTGCAGTCAGTCCTCCCACAGCCAAATGGAGTATGTTTTTATGGTTGGTTGGTAGGTAGGATGGTCACCCCATGATATTGGTGGTACCACCTCACCTTCCTACCAGCTCGTCATCATTGTGCCTAGTGTGAATTAAGATGGACAATTAGAGATGGTGCCCATGCAACCCTCACTGAATGAGTAAATCTCAAGATGGCTCTGCGGGGGCAGGTGTGTGTGTGTGTGTGCGTGCGCGCGTGTGACAGGGCAGGGTGATTCAGTGAATCGGAATCAACTTCCCCTAATTACTCTGTGTGTGTGGGTTTGGAAGTGAGTATAGTTCAGGCTACATAGGGGAGAGTGAAAGAGGGCCTCATGAGTCAAATGGCCCAACAATTTTATACCAACTTCCCCAGTGATTCAAATTCTATCCAAACACCCCTTCAAAAACCAAAACAAAACAGAAACAAACAAAAATTTTAAATGCTCAGAAGAACACCTCCTATCTTCACAAGGCCTGTTCCCAAAACATTTAAGAGGTTTCTAGGCTTTTATCCTCTATTGCTGGTTCTAAGAACCCAGCCTAGGAAAATAATGTAAATTATGATCAAAGAATTATTGATAGAGGTGACATTTTGTATGTTCAATATCATTGAATTCTGCAAAACCCATTGAATTTATACTTTAAATGGGTGAATTGTACAGTATGTGAATTATATCTCAAGTAAACTATTAAAAAATTCCAGCCCTGGCCGGTTTGGCTCAGCGATTAGAGCATCGGCCTGCGGTCCTGAGAGACCCGGGTTCGGTTCCCGCTAAGGGCGCGTACCTCGGTTGCAGTTTGTCCCCGGCCCTGGTCGGTTGTGCGGGTGGCAGCCACTCGATGTGTTCCTTTCACATCGATGTTTCTCTCTCTCTCTCTGTTCCTCTCTCTCCCTCCCACTCTACCTGAACAAAAAATGGAAAAATGTCCTTGGGTGAGGATAAAAAAAAAAAAAAAAATTCTATGAGATTGGGTTTGTTTTGAGGACTTTCTTTTTGCAGTCCAGGAAACTAAGACTCTAATGACACAGATGACTGAGGGGAGCAGGATTTGAATTTAGTCCTTCTGACCACCCAGTCCATTTCCTTAACCTTCTTATAATTCAACACATCCCCAAAAGACCCAAAGACATTCATCATAAAAATCATCTTTCCCTGGCCAGTTTGGCTCAGCGGTTAGAGTGTCAGGTTTGAGTTCTGGTCAAGGGCACATACCTTGGTTGCGGTTCGTCCCTGGCCCTGGTTAGGTTGTGCGGAAGGCAACCAGTCTATGTGGCTCTATCACATCCATGTTTCTCTCTGTCACTCCCTCTCTCTCCCTCCCTCTTACTCTATCTGATGATAAATAGAAAAGTATCCTCAGGTGAGGAATTAAAAAAAATCATCTTCAGCCTGGCCAGTGTGGCAGGGTGGATGAGCGTTGAGTCATGCAACAAGAAGTCGCTGGTTCAATTCCTGGTCAGGGCACATGCCCAGGTTGTGGGGTC